GTAAATTTATTTGATCGAAGTGCGCTTGCGTATGTTAATAAACGTTAGCATTAACTATAAATTTATACGTAATTTTAGGTGTGTTTTAGTTATCTAAAATTACGTATAATAATAATTCTTCTTATTTTTGTTTTAACACTTTTGTTTGTAACTAAATCTAAAATTATCTTTTCTTTTCGTCTACGGGCACTTATTATAAGCATCAGGAAACAATTCCTTCTCGACTTTATGGTTTTCTTTCAGCGCAAACTTTAAGTTCTACGGAACTGAAGTGTTCCTTGAGATCTTTTAGCGTGAAGGGTTTCCTTATAACGAACTCTAAATTGTTTTGGCAGTTCTTTGTTTTTATATGTACTTAAGAATATTTTTACTTTGTAACAATGTTGCGTCTCGCCGATGGCTGTGATTAATCGTATCCACCAGTAAGTTTTTAAAGCCTTTGATGTTTAGAAACATATAGGGAACCTGTAGTAACTTTTCACTTTTTAGACCAAGCGAACTAACTTACTATAGTTTTTTGCAGTAGATAAATTTTATGCTAAGGATGAGTAGTTAGGAGTTACTAATAATCATGTAACATGTGAGTTAAAAAAGCACAGTTATTTCAATATTATAGCTTCAATTTTACTTGTATTTGTATAGATGTGTATAGATTTGAAAGTACAGTTATCATGATATCGAACACTCTCCCTACGCAATGCATTTATCTACTACCGATGCAATTTTAAATTTTAGAGAATCTTCCACGTATCACGAAGCCAACCATTTTAATAGATTCTTTCAAAGAGCAACAGAATAGAACATGAAATAGACGTCCATTATACACAGTGTTTCTGAAATAAGTAGCAAGCTTGCAGGATGTGTAAGGGCACTATAAAACAAAAAAATTAAAAGTAAATGTTTAGTGGCCCGAAAATCAACCGTTTTCGAGAAAAAAGTACAGACAAGGGTCAATTCGGCCCTTGTAGAATCACGACATTGCAACGCTGCATTCAATCTGCTGTCACTTAGCAGCATCCGTGTTGCATTGCTTTTGTATAGATTGAGTGTAGTTGGCGATATTTGTGTTTTCAGGTAGCTTAGAGTAGTTCCTTATTCAGTTGAAGTAGGTCAATGTGTCAGTGTTATAAGTTAGTGCAAAATAGTATTATTGCATTGACTAATGTTTAAGTTTTAAGACGAATATTTTCCTAAACGTACTGTGGCCGATGCGTAGTCCTGATTTAAATTCGTTTGACTTCTTTGTATGGAGCTGTATAAAACAGTGCGTGTATCAAACACCAGTGCAGAAGTGCTTACTGGTGTGATAATTAACTTTTTCTAATGCAAGGATAGGTTCGTTGGTAAACCACCCACAAAAAAGCCAAACCGATAAGGTTACATTTTCTTATAATGGAACGGGAAATTTTTTTTAATGTCATGTCTCTTTCTTGATTCTAATTTGCAAAACGCATATTTTACTATTTTATTTGATTAAGAGAGCATCATACTTAATGATTACCTATAGATGCATACGTTAAACTCATAATGAATTATTACTACTATTATTGATGATTGTATACGTGAATCATATATGTACATAATATCCATACTATGTGAAGGAGTCGCATAAATCGCACCTTATCAGAAAATGCGCCATATTATGCGATATCAATTGAGAAAAGTTGTCATTATGTTAACTAACAAGAAATAATTGTTGCATGGGTGAGGCTGTATGAGCAACAAAAGCAGATTAAAAAATAGTGACTACTTTGATAGTAGGTAACTACGTTATATCATGATTCGTGTTAGTTACTAATTAATTTACTTAAACAATTAAAAATGTAAGTTCAAAATTTTAAGTAATAATTTTTTTAGATCAGCCAGTCTCATAAATCGTACTGGTGAAATTTTGTGTTTTTTGTTTTATGCTGTGATATTGGTAATAGGCATTTTACATTTTTCTCTCATAATATACACACGAATGAACCTTAAGAATGGTTTTCACAAGGCAAGAAAAAGTATGGGAATTAGAATATAGAAAAGAAAATATTTAATTCTTGAACCAACATATAGAATACATTCAAAGTGACCAATGTGTATTGTTTTTTTTTTATTTTTTGGATAAGATTGATACTGAAAATTAAATTGACACATTTCACATTTAAAGCGTCTACCAATCGATTTTGTTCTACGATTGTAGCAAATTTTATAGTACTTTTGCCAAATTTGTATACGTTCTAATAATACCTAGATTTTGAGTTGATCTCAGTTTGTTATTCATGAATGAAAGATTAGTATTAAATAACAGCTAAAACACTAAAGTACAATCTTAGAACCTAATACAGTACGATTTGGGAAACTGTTTCTCAAATTATTTTGCATACACCTCTTTAAAAAGAATTACGTATAAGGATTAATAAAAAATAGTATTTTTAGAAGTTACCACTTTATCTACAAAACTGCAATTTATTGCATTAAATCTTGACACGTAATAACTGACAGCTAAATACGTTATAAAAATGAATGATCCATAGGAATGACTATGACTATTGACTGGTTATTATGTATTATATTAAGTAAGTGAATTTTACTGTATGAATAACGAGAAGCATTTAAGTATCGTTTAAACCAATATTCATAGTAATGTTAAATCAAAATTACAACTGAAAAATACAATTGCAGTTCTTCCAAGAATTCTTATCACAGTTTTGGAATGGAGAAATTGCTTTGATAAGATGGCGTAATACCGATAAAACATTAAGTAGAACCACCCTGTATAATTTTCGTTTTAGTTATTAGTCTAATGCAGTACTTATTTGTTAGTATAACAGAGATTAATGTTTACAATTTAATCAATGTGGAACAATATTCCTGGTTCTCATCAACGGAAATGGAAACGAGAGTTCCGGTTTTGTTGGACCAGTGGAGTAGGTTTAACGTAACATGTTTGTTTATTAATCTTAACAGTTATACACTTGATGGTTCCTGCGAATAATTTATCATTTATGCATTTCACTATTTGATTCGAAAACCACAATTGCTGCATAGAGTGTAAATTTCTGAAGCTATTACAGTCATACAATTATCTCTTGCATAATTATACGTATATTCTATTTAACGTTAATTAATAATAACGAATATTATTTATTATTATATTATTTCATAACTGACTATTATGAAACTTTGTTAACACATTGTCAGGGTTTCAGAAAAGGACATAGATTACCTTTTATGTGGTCGTCGATGATCTTTAGTATTGCAATGTAAGCGAAGCTGCGGTACTTTGATATTGTAGGCGAGTTTGTGAAGTTTATAGATTTATTAGGAGTATCATTTTAAAGTAATTTCTGAGTGAAACACCGTTGCAAAAATTACCTATTTCAACGTTTCGCAAAATATACATATTTAGAAAATTTTATTCGACATTCTAATATCAAAATATAATATCGTGAAGGCTATCGTTATCTACATGCAGTAGACATATGCAACATATATATATATATATATATATATAGGCTTGGTCTTCTTTTTGTTATATCGTCCCTTGTTTTTGCAAAACTTACCGTCACACTTAAGATAAATTAAAATTAGGCATATAATGCTCCGTTCGTAACCCTACAATTTCCAATTATGAATGATTTGGTTATTGTTATTCTGCAACAACAAAGTTGCAAAAATATACATAAGACTGTGTTTTTGTGTAAATGTGCGTTGGAAAAGAATGTTGGCAAAGTGAACTTAACAAAATAATTATATTTCGAAAAAAATTACGCTGGATTAAAGTTGTCATGTCGGCGATTTTATTCACAATAAAAATGGTCTAACACCCTAACTAAAAGAAAAAGATGTTTGAGTGTTTCACTCTCATCAGCCGCTAATGCTGGTGGGCGGGCAGTCCCTCCAGACTATGCCGGAAGGTAGGGCGGAAGTCCCTCTTCAGTTTTCTTTCAGGAATCGTGGGAATGGGTGGATGGTGGTTAGGGTGAGAAAGATAAGACGGACGAAATGAAGACAGAAGACAACGAAAGATTATCTGTGGAATATTATTGTCCTGGCATTTACCTAAGTGATCCAATGAAACCACGGAAAAACTTGGACCAAGGCAGACGGACCCGGAATTGAATAGGCGTCCTCACGAATGCTAAGCAATGGTCCAAACTAAAATCTATATATAGAAATGTACAAAGGAGCAGACACACAAGGACACAACCACTTGACTCGAAATGCTTAGCAGCTGTTGCATAGTTCTGCTTTTTGGTGCATTGCCATTTGACAATTAAATAAATAAACATGTGCATCCACAGAGAGTGAACAAATTAATTTCTCTTTTATTTTTAATTGAGTAAAACTGGGAAATTTGAAACAACTCATACAGTACATTTTGAACACAATAAATATAAATAGACGACTTATTCAACATGTCCAATTTTACAGAAATGAGATTTTCAGGTTATTCTCCAAATTACTCAATAAAAACGTCAAATAATGAATTTGTCTTACACAAAAAGTGTTACAATAAAAGCCCGGATTTCTAATAGTAACGCAATTTGCTTATATTTACAATTTAGAAATTCGAAAATGATTGTTAAAGGTGTATGTTTGGAGCTCTATGGAAGTCAATAAGAAATAGGCGAGATAGGTTGGTAGGACACCTTCTCAGGCATGAAGGTTTAGTCAGAGACATATTAGTGACAGAAACAGGAGTTAGAAGGGGTAGAGGTAGACGTAGATTAGATTACTGTTTGGAAATTGTTAAGGATGTGGGTTGTTCTAGTTTTGTAGAAATGCGAAGATTAGCTCAAGATAGGAAAGAGTAGAAGTGCGTGTCGAACCAGTCTTAGGACTGAATACCTTATGATGATGAATAAAAGCAATCAAGGAACGAGGAGAATCTTAAAAGAAAAACTACTAAAATTTACCTATAGTAGTTATATACGTTTCTGACAATTAGAATACCTACATTGATAATGAAAAGCCGAGAAGCTCTTCATCATCGAATAGACACCGAGGGTGAAAGCCTACGAACTACTGTAGTACCTATATTGAATGAAAGAGTATAAGTGGAGATGACAATTAAATATATATTTAATATTATATATATACATATTTTGAGAGGCACATTGAGAATTATATACAAAAGATTCCCGTTCCATATTCCCGCAAAACTTACCGCTGCTTCTTTGGGTATATTTTCTTTCCTGATCTTCTATTTCCGGTGCGATTACTTTGACACTATTGAACACCTGCAATAGATCTATTGTCTGATCGTCTTCCGATTTGGAAATGTTCTTTGTTTTCTGATGGTGGGAAGCCACAGATGAGTTGAAATGGCGTTTGCAGTTCACCTAAGTATAGATAATAACTAGATATACAATTCAGTAAACTATACAAAGGAAAATAAGAGTCATACAATATTCCAAAGAAGTACATTAAAATTAGAATATTAAAAAAAATCGGTAAGCTTCTCTGGTCGCGCCAGAAATGTAATTGATTGTGCTAAACTATCGGCCACGTATATAAAACGAATATGAATTTTTGTCAATGTTACTAGTTTTATTCGTTGATAGGCCCGGTAAAAGTGGTACCTAATTCAAATTATTACGTTGCCTGGTGCACTTTACGGAGAACTAAAGGCCCTCACTTGAGTTCTTAAGGCATTCCAAAGAAGCCATGGGAAGAAATAATGGAATACCAGTGCGCTCTACGTCAACTTTTATTATGTTTTCTTTATTTTACAACTACCGTCCCGCCCCAGCTTCGCAAGGGTGCAATGTTGATACTTAATATACTACTGAATGTCTTTATATACAACATTTACAGCTTTTTTGTCATTAGATCATATAAACCGGCCCCGCGGCCGGTACCGTCGCAATCGCATGTCCCTGCATTTTAAATCTGTAATATCTTCGAAAACATTCATTTAAATTACATGTTGTAAAGAGCCATATTGACCTATATTAAATGCACAATGTATTTAAAAGTACTTAATTGGATAAGGATTAATGCTGTATTGCTTAAAATCGCTTCGTAAATAAGCCATTATTTCTCATAAAAAGTAAAGGATAAAAAATGGTTATTGTGGGTTATCTCTAAGAGATAGACATATACCATCGCGGACTTTTTTGTGGACCTTTTTAAGATGTACAAAACTGTGGTACATTATTTTGATCTATCTCGTAGGGTTTAGCCAGCGTTTGCAATGTAAGCGCAAAAAAGTGTTTATTTACGACATCACATTAGAAACCTCTAAAATTATCAGTGTATTATACATATAAATCTTCGTTTGAATCACTCTATCTATTAAAAAATCGGTTGTCTGTAAAGTCGGTTTACTGACGATAGTTGAACGAGACAACGTCATAAGAAAATACTGATGGAATGGTTTCATTTTTCAAAAGAAAACTTTAATTTTATTTGTTCGAAAGATATTTTGTATGGATATAGAGAAGGAGGTAAATGGAAATGTATTATTGTATAGCAGCTGTCCACGCGGACGCATCGCTCACTCAAGTAGGAGAGAGACAGATGTCGTTGCATAATTTTAAAGATCTAAGCATACATAGGGACAGACAGCGGGAAGCGACTTTGTTTTATACTATATAGTGATTAGTGAGACTGATAAGCCCTGGAAATGTGCAAAAATGTGCAGTTATCATTTTTAAATGAGCAGAAAATACGAAGGTCCATGAGAAACTGCCTTTCATTCTTCAATTTTTCCTGAAAATTTATGATCGGAAACGTTCAACAATGGCACTGGAACGAGAAAACCGTCATTAGCACTCTCTCGATGAAAAGCTAATCATCCTGGTGTTTTACCATCATATCACTAACGTGAAAACGTTTTTGGCCCATAGAAATGGATTTTTACGGAAACAGTTCGCGTTTACTTCTGGGAATAATTTTTAAAAATCAAACATTTCTAATCCTCTTAACTCCTGTTTCTGCCTCTAATATGTCTCTGACTAGACCTTCACGTCTGAGAAAATGTCTTACCAACCTATCTCGCCTATTGTTTATTGCTTTCCAAAAAAACTAGATGGTAAAAAATCGTTTCAAAGAGAACTATTCATTACTTGACATCGTAGGGCATTATCGCTTTTTGACTCTCAAAAATGCAGGAATTTGGTTAAACATGATTAGTTCCATACATATAGCAGCCTATAGACACAAAAGTAGTTTATGCTATGACAGCAATTAACGGGATAAACAAGAGTTTAGTAAATCATTGCATACATATCAAAATTTTAGTGATAGACACTTAGGAGTCGTTCATAAGAATGTAATACTTCTTAAATTTGCATTCCAATACTCTTATCGCCACAAAATGTGCGTAATGGTGATTTTCATTTGATATCCTTTATTGCATTTTCTGCTAGACGCTCTATTTATATCTAGTTTCTGTCAATTACTAATACATTTACACGAAGCTTTACCATTTTGTTTTATTTCATAGCTTTATTTGGATTGAAACTATATTAGTTTAATTTACAAATACTTAAGTTCTTTTACGTGTAAAACTCTTAAATTCGACCCAAGCCTAATTTGCGGTCTAGACGTCTAGACCGTGTTAAATCCGATAAGAGATAATTTATTTATTTCGACTGTATCTGAAGTTTAACGTCCTTTCGTAGTTCGAAAGTATTGGTACAAAATAATTATGAAAACTTAGGGAGAACGATAAAAATTTCCATTAATCTTTCGTGAAAATTCGACACAACAATATCATAAAACCTTTTGAATTGCAACATTTTTACTAATTACTGTACGTATCTTATAAACCAAAACAAAACGAAAATATTGTTATGTAGGGAAAGTAAAAGTTGGTTTCAAGCCAATACAAAGCTAGAAGACGAAAAATTATATTTTCGATATCTATAGGAGACAGGAAAAAAAACGAAGAATGGCGCAGATTATTAAAAGTCTATGTTTGGAGCACGGCTTATCTACATGGGGGGGTGAAACCTACGAGGTGCGCGCTGCGAAAAAGAAACAATTAGACGTGTCTGAGATACGGGGGGATGATGAAAATACCTTCAATAGAAAAGAGTAGATGGAAATGAGAAGGCACTAGAAACGGTAGGAAAACAGAGGACGCTATAGAAATCTATAAAAAATAGGCGGAATAGTTTGGTAGGCTACTTTTTGAGACATACAAAATAGTTAGAGACATATAGGAAGCAAATACAGGAATAAAAGGGGAACAGAAACAACTACATTAGATTACTATTCGTAAATAGAGACATATGTTGTTATAGTGTTTGAGAAATACTAAAACGATTGGCTTAAAAGCTCAAAATTGGAAGATGTGGAGGTGCGTATGAAACCAGTCTTCGGGATGAAGGCGTTAGAGTGACGTACTATACAGTATTGGAAATTGTCATTGCTAATATATATATTTTTATGATAAAATAGAATCTTGATAAGAGCAAGACATCTTTATTAATAATTTGTGAAAAATTATAGAAGACAATCACGATTTCGAATTTAATTGTGCTCAAAGTATCAAAGGCAGCTGCGACCTATTATCGACGATACGGCAGTATTAGTAGCAAAATAATAAAAGACGCTAAATGGAACGAATGTCGTAGGAGAATTTTTGTATACAGTAGAATTGTGATAGTGTGAACAACACATTACAAAAGCTCACATAATGTAACTCTCATCTTCATCATAAGGTTGTCACTCCTAAGACTGGTTGGACTGTACCTCCTCTCTTTCCTATCCTGAGCTAATATTCGCATTTCCCTAAAACTAGAACAATCCACATCCTTAACTATTTGCGAACAGTAATCTAATCTAGGTCTACTTCTACCCTTCCTGACTCCTGCTTCATCCTCTCATATGTCTTACTAGACCTTCATTCCTGAGAAGGTGTCCTACCAACCTATCTCGCCTATTTTTTATTGACTTCCATAGAGTCCTCTGTTCTCCTATTCTTTCTAATACCTCTTCATTTCTAACCTTCTCTATAAACGGTATCCTCATCATTTACCTGTAACATCACATTTCGAACACTTCTAACCTTTTCTTTTCCGCTGCGCCTACCGTCCATGTTTCACACCCGTAGAGTAGTGCGCTCCAAACATACACCTTTAACAACCTTTTCTGAATTTCTAAATTAACCGTTAGCGAGCATAGAAGTGACTTCTTTTTATTAAAGGCGACACAATTTTGCGTTATCCTCTGCTTTATATCCCTACAACTCCTTCCGTTCTGACTTATCATATTAATTATATATGCTAGACGCCCGCATACTAATGTTTAGGTGATGAAATGGTCTAAAAAATCTATATCTCGTTGTTGTTGTTATACAAGTGAATGTATCTAAATAAATACATAAAGGATAAATTTTTGATAATTGAATAATGTCGATGTGTTGCATTTAAAGCTGTAATCTACACTCGTTTAGGTTTTGCTGTGTTGTAAGTTTCATTCCTAAAAAAAGAAATTTGCCGGCCAACATAGCGTACCTATTACTTCATATACATGCTTAAATAGCGGCCTCCATAATTTCAACTCCGAATCGTATTGCTTCACACTTTAACGACCCGCTTAACGATCCACTTTTAGATATAAATAAAAAAACATAGAGCGAACAAGGAAATTCCTACTAAATTCCCGTAAAAATGCGATTTATAAACAATTACACAGTCGCGGTCATTCTTATAAATTTAAATTGACCTGCAAAAATAACTTTTTGATATTGAATTTTATCCTAAGTAAATTTTAGACGGAGACTGGTCTAAAGATGCTTTCGACAAGGCTCTTTGTTTCTGAAAAAAGCGTTTCTTTATTTGGTCAGCATCACCCCTTTGGCATTTTGAGCAGTAGCATAGTGGTGGATGCCAGGAAGTCTTTTGTCTACAACTCGCACCCTGTTACCGTTACCATCTGGTTATTTCCACGTAAATGAAAGTTCGCTCGAAAATAATCCTGAGACAAATTTCAACTGTTTGAACTTATTTTGTTCTGGCAATTTTATGTCATCATAAATGCATGCCTACACAGTTTTATTTTATTTTACGGATGTGTGTTTTTTCCCTAATTTGATCACTAATCAACAACTGTGATTAAAATAATTATGCTAATTGGCTAATAATACCTAGTATCAAATGAAGCAGCAACGATCACTTTTACAATTCCGGCAGTTGTGTTTGGTATTTTCAATATGTCTAAAATTATTACTTGCAGAAAGGCAACAAAATTGTATAAATGACTTCTTGATCAAGGAAAGAGCATTTTATTGCGATTGGCCAACCAAAACACAAAATTACGTAATTCACTCAATTGATAGTCAATTTAGACCAGCCACAAAAGGGGATTAACAATTTCTTTACAAAGAACTATTTAGAATTCGCGTTTTAAAAATTTCTGGGTAAAACTTAACTCGAAATGTCCTCTTTAATAGATATGTGCTAGTGTTTTATATTTTTATGTATATTCGTTTTGATAATTTATGTACTTAAAAGTAGCTTCGTTGGATAATGTGAACAGCCGTTGTTTTTCGGTTCACATTATTACAATTCCACTGTATTTCTAAGCGATTTTCCATTTCTATTTCTACTCTATACAATAAATGAAATGAGTATTCCTGAAACTAATCAATGGTAACTAATGTATAAAATTAAAACTAACGTTGCTGACTATTGTTATCATATTAATAACACTTAATATGAATAATATCATAAAATATGAGACTTGACTGAAGATAACCAAGCCTAAGGATTCATTCTTTACACCGTTGCTCGCAAGCGAATAACGTGCTGCCACCTGTTGAGCGTAAGAAGAATTACATTACTGGAGCTCTGGTGATCTTACATAGCTTGAAGTTTAATTAGATCTTTAGCTTAAATCATCCCGAATTGACAGAAAAACTATAATTTCTTATGTCACATTTATAAATACATCAACATATGTGATGATCTCGTTCTCCACCTCTGTTCTCAATTTTCGAAAAATTCAGTTTCCATTTGCCATACACATACGTGGTATTTTCAAAAAGTATTGCGAATTTTATGTTTTTTCAAAAATTATTATTTTTTTTTTCGTGAATATCTGTTTTGTCCCCTTCAAAGTGATCCACACCAAATATTAAACACTTGTGCCAACGTTTTCTCCAATTCCCGAAGCACTTAAAAAAATCATTTTTTGTGATCTTGTTCAGCTCCTCCTTCGATGACGTCTTTATCTCCTCAATCGTAGCGTAGCGTCGTGCCTTCATGGATTTCTTCAGTTTCGGGAACAAATTACAGGGAGTCAGATCTGAGAAATATGGTGGCTGTGACATCATTAGTGTGTTGTGTTTCGCCAAAAAATCGCGCACAAGCAACGACGTGTGAGCAGGGACGTTGTCATGGTGTAAAAGCCAATTTTTGTTCTTCCACAAATCCGCGGATTACTTCCCGAAAATTTCGCATAACTTGCAGGTAATATTCCTTATTGACCGTTCTACTCTGTGGCAAGAACTCATGATGCACCACGCCCCTGCAATCGAAGAATACTCTAAGCAAAACCATCACATTCGACCTAACTTAGCGCGCTTTTGCGGTCTTGAACTTTGGTTTCCACGTCATAACCACAGACCCATGATTCGTCTCCAGTTATAACCCTCTCGAGCAAATTTGGGTCGTCAGCTTGCAATGTTAATGCGATGCTGTTTTTGGTCGAAATTGAGCTATTTTGGTACGAATTTCGCGGCGACCCGTCTCATGCCTAAATCACTGACAAAAATTGGCCCTCTGAGAACATTTTCTACCACCGATAAACGTTGCTTCGGTCCAAGGCAGCTTTACCATATTCGGAATGTGTCCGCGCTCTTAATTCTGTTTTTCACATAACATTTATTACAGATTCTTTGATCCATTTTTTGGAATAGGCAAAAATCGAAGACGCGCCAAAACACGTGCTAGCAAAGCAGCCGTCAAAAATTAACTGAACATGGCCGAACTTTTTGGTATAAGTGAAAGACATGAGTACCAACATAACACCGCAAAAAAATCGAAAATCGAATATACGTAAACAGCAAAAATTCGAAATTCGCGATACCTTTTGAATAGACCTCATATCCATTAAAAACTAAACCTTAACATTTACTCTAAACCAATTAACACTCTCTTTATTACGTATTTAATTCGGAATCATGGCATAAGTACCCTTATAAAAGGAACCAATTGCGGTTAAAATAGAATCATTCAGTTGCGTCCTGTACAGTTAGCGCTAAAGTGGGGTGGTATTTTTATACAAGTAGGTACATAAGTTTGCATATGATATGCGGTTATTACCTTTCTGCACGAGCTTTTACACAACTTAAGGGTGCACGATAAGTGCAATCGGTCTCGATCGGGAAATTTGAATGCAGCAAAATTCGCAACCGCCTCTTGATGTCTCATCATTGAAATCGGCTTCGATGCAGTCAGTTTAGGAGCCGGCATGACGTTCACATCTACCGGACATCCGAACTCATCGAGGAGCTTTTGCGAAGATTCACCTAATCCATCATGGGCAATGCATTCCGTTACTTTCCATCCTATACCCACTGAAAGAATGAAAATGAATTCAAATATCGTGAAATTGTTTTATTATTTGCGGAAGTTGAAGAGCAGATTTTTCAACAGGTTAAAGTAACAGTTTGATCATAGGAATGACGATAACAAATTACGTAATTTTTATTTCATATTTTCACTGCAAATGAATTATGAACAATTCTCATATGTTCGAAGTACATTCGCTACTGTAATTTAAAACAGAGGCGGAGGTATTACGTTCGGAATTATATATATGCAAGTCAGTTCAATATTACATAGACTTCACTTATCTGTAACCGCAGTTGTGTTGGGCGTTGGGGAGTTGAATTATTCTAATTAGTTTTGTTTTCGCCTGTCTACAGTTTAAGGATTTTCCAAACTTTATATATATACGCGAAAAAACAAAACGAATGTGCACTTCCAATTGTACGTTTCTGTAATGGATATAAAGAAACATTTAGGAACACAGGTGAAACTGTAGTTGAGAAATAATTTAGAATTATAATTGTCTTTGTTTTAAAATCACAAGCTTATAGAATAGTAAAGGGGAAACATAACTAGACAAACTTGATTTAAACAATTCCCATGCCTATGGTCAGATGCATTCTATTAAAAACTGAGAATTAAATTTTTAGGGTGATTACTGTTGAAAGTCCTAAAAGAAACTTTAACCATTGCTCCAATATCTAGGATCTAATAAATACGTATGCGAATAGTATACATACAACAAATCTTTTGTGAAATCTTCATGGAAAGATAATAATTAAGAAGAATAAGAAGTTAGTTGAAATCAGTTTCGGTCGGATAAGAGAGGCTGCTGCAATAAGTTGTCGAATGATAATTGCTTACAGAATTATTAAATTATTTAAATGAAAATTGGTATAAATACCGTTAGATTTTTCATGTTTATGGTTTCTTCTAGGAAAAAATGGAAGGGCCTCCTTGTTATAATTTTTTGATTTACCTATTAATTTGTAAAACTGCTCTGTCACGTTCCCATTAACTAAAACAGAAACAGATCAACGAGGAAGAAATTTGGAATGATTATGGTCTTTTCTCAGATCCATCCAGAACATTTGGCAAAGATGAGATAACAAAACAAGCAGCTTCAGTGTACCAGATGGAAAACAGTAAAAGCAGAAAGTACGAAGAATAAAAGTAAAAGGTGATCGCAACAAATCTATATTGTATTTCAAATGACTGTGTGATAATTGTAGGTTTGCATCAAAATTTTAAGATTTGTGGAATCAGTTTTTCAAATAAAATGCAGATATAATGAGGGTCTTCTGTCCTATCGCTATGTATTGGTCTAGTTTCGTATTTAGATTTTTTATATTTTACAGTACCACAACGAGTGCTTTTATGTTTTTCACCACACCAAAGTAAATATAATAAATACCTAAATAAACAAGTTGTATACTGTTTTGCAAAAGGTGGTTTGGTCATCTGTTCTTTACATCGAAATGTTCAGCGTACAATATGCATTTTTGTTAGTTTATTTCTTAGTAGTTTCGACGTAACGATTCTTGTTCATTCTTGAATTTATTGAATGTCCACGTTGTTAACAAGCTCGATGTTTGAAACAAATTTCTTTAATATATAGATTTCTTAAATGTAGGTATATAGGACCCGTAGGAAAAAATTCCATTGAACTTCAATTTCCCAGTTCGGGAATGGGATTTCCACTAGAATTCTATTCATCCCATTGGCAATTCTCCATTTATTACCATTAATTATTATCAGTGGTACCTAAATGGCATTTTTTTAATGGAAATAGAATGGAAATTTTTCCTACGGGGATGTATGTAGGTACCACAGTGAGTGGTGGAAAATGGAAAATAAAATCGGTTGCTTACAACAACTTTTTAATTGGATCAGGGGTTTAATTTTTAGCGTAATAGCTTCCTGAAGATTTCATTTTATTGAAGTTTTTAAACACCGGGGTGAATGCACATATATACAAATACTTACCGGGCAGTGTGGTTTTGAAAATTAATTTTGCTGCCTCTCCAACCAAAAGAACGTCGGCTTTTTCGTGCAGTTTTTCCGGTTTAATTTCCATCCATGCTTTAGTAGCTGACAAAGCTTCCGCTAATTTCCTATTTAATTTCGAGTTGGCTTCCCTTGCTCTATCATCTCGCATTCTTCCCGTCCTAAATTTTTTTTTTATAAATAAAGCAAATTTGACTACGTCATTCGGAGTAGTAAAACACAGGTTATCGTTATTTTCGGTTGATACTAAATTTTCAAATTTAATTAGTTCGGTTCATAGAACAACAAACTACAAACATTCGGAATTCCTCCTGTACATTTGTACTTTTAGGAATATATATGCCTATACAGGGTGTTTTTGAAATAAGTGCAGAAGGTGTCAATCAGAAGGAATCACATATTAAGTTCAGCAGCGTGACTAAGAAAAAAAAATCGGTTGTCTGTAAAGTCGGTTTACTGACGATAGTTGAACGAGACAACGTCATAAGAAAATACTGATGGAATGGTTTCATTTTTTCAAAAGGAAATTTTAATTTTATTTGTTTGATAGATATTTGGTATGGATATAGAGAAGGAGGTAAATGGAAATGTATTATTGTATAGCAGCTGTCCACGCGGACGCATCGCTCACTCAAGTAGGAGAGAGACAGATGTCGAACGCTGCCGAACGCGGAGGCCGATTGTGCCTCTTTGTCGCTCGTTCCGCGCTCTCGCTTGCACTTCAAGCCTTAAATGGAACGCCTCAGAGCGAGGTAACGCCGCATGAGTCATGTTTTTTCGTGCGTGCAGCCGGCTCCATCGAATTATAAGACGTTGTCACGTCAAAAACCAAAAAAAAAAAAATAGTAAGAAAATCACAAGTCACAAACCGAAGCCGGTCTTGGTCATGATGAGGCAACGTGGTGCAGGGAGGTGGAAAAAATTGCGATAAGAACTGCTACATGCTTAATCGAGTCTAAGAAGTAACAAACAATACATGGGCAAACAAATACAAAAAGGAAAATGAAATACAGCTCATTGAATTCGGTGCGGCGTTGCGTTGTCGTGTTTCTCTGTGCGATTTACCAGGACCGGTCTGACCCTTGCCGATACTTTCAAATGTTTTTCTCGAAAACGGTGGATTTTCGGACCATCAAACATTACTTAATTATATTGTTTTATGGTGCCCTATCATCTCCTGCAAAATCCTTACTTATTTCAGAACCACCTTACATATTTGTCATTTATGTTATATTCAAATGACGAAAGTACATAGGCGCTCTTATGAATGATTGGCTTAATAATGAACCAAAATCATACAAAAATCACTGCCACTCCTTTTACTACTAGTTGGTAGCTACGAGAATTCTAACGAAAAAGAGGAACAAAATTTCATCCGTAGTAACACAAATAACGTGTTGATAAATATTAAACGGATGTGGAAATATTGTGTTATAATGCAAACCTGATAGGTAATTTTTGATTAATATACTTCTTATTTTTAGTGACTTCTTTTTTATTCTTCTAAGCGATATTAGTATTTTTGGGAAAAAATTGAAGTGATGTTTAAAAGACTTTAGATAAACACCTGCGACATAGAAAGGGAGACTGGAGCGATTCATATTATTGTAAGTACTGCGTCTTGTCAATTTCGTTCGGAACATCAATGATACTTGGTTTTCTAAGTAATTCGGAGCGCATGTGCCTGTTTGACTAAAAGATTCTGACCCATTTTTGTTTGTTGAAGAAGGGTAAATGTAAACTAAATGAGACTAGAATTTATGAGCGAATAGGTATCCAACCCTTTATTAATCGCGGAATAAATGATAAATAATGGATAAATTACAAATGGCTGTTGTAAAGTTAACACTGCCATGATTCTACTTTAGGGACTTAATACGAAGAAAATTTACTAACATTCAACCAAACTTTAATGGGCTTTCTATGCTAATTGCTAATACGTAGGTTGTAGTTTGTGTTTATGAATAGATTTGTGTTAATAATTTAATTAAAAAATTACCTTTTGTCAGTCAATGACTTTTTACTGAATATCTCGTTTCTAATGACATCACTAATGACTTTATTATTTATCATAAAAGCGTCCTCTTGGAGTCGGCATTTAACTGTAATTTCTTGATCGGAAATTTGCCTTAAATAACGATCTTGCTGAATAACTAAATTTACAAGATAGAACATTTCCTTAGGAGATGTGTTGATGGAATCCAGTCGCACCCCACAACCTGCGGTTGGTATTCGCAGACTTGCGTTTGGCATGAATGATCCTGCAAATAATGGAAAGTAGAAAAGGACAAATAGAAAGAAGCAAATTACTACCTAACTTCAAGTACATAAATTGTTCAGTAAATTACCTATCTGTCTTGTATATAGGTTTTTTGCATATATTTTAAATTGGTATTGCTATCTAAAGATATTTGCTGCAGACAATAGTATTTTAAATGTTTGATAAGGTCTTACGAACAATGGTGTCTAGTAGACAAACTTTTTGTGCATATTTTATCAATGTGTGTAGGTATTGTAGAATAAACCGACCGACTGAGCCAACAGAGTTAAAATTTTGCACAGACGTTCCGTTATGCAACGTAGATGAATACCAAGAAAATATTTTTTAAAATTTGACCCCTAAAAGGGTGAAAAGGGGGGTCCAAGCCGCTGTGTTAGGAAGTTCGAAATTTTGCACTTATATAACGGTATTATTCACTGTAAAATGAGTTTTCAAAATATTACCCCTAATGGTGTAAAATGGGAGCTTGCAATATAATCGAAATCCACGCCAACGAAGTTACAGCTACTGCTAGGCCAACGAGACCTTGCCCTTCAGATTGTAACGCCTACAGATGCGCATTGAACAATGGTCATTTTGTGTTAAGGTAAATCATTTGAGTTCACCTCTTCTTCGAGCTACGAACTCGCCACACACCAACTGGCCGGGCTGTCATTTTCATAATCAATATAGTGAACGACTAAATAAACTGAATAAAAACACATAAAGTTGGGAGTAAAAAGTGCGTTCCCAATAACCAACCCTTTATGCATTTCGATATTTCTCCTGAGCATAAGCGACATCCTTTTCTAGCAGAATGCGGTTCTTGTTTATCATCTGCGCCGCAAGTGAAAACGTTAGGGGCCACCTGTCGATGGTTTAGCTGTACTTATTTGTATTAGCTGCATCATAGATTCAGTTTGTCAAGTAGGTACCAAGTAAGACCTTGTGGGACATTTGAAATACAACTTTTATAGGGTTGTTCGGAAAGTCATTTCGTTTTTTCCCGACAGAGGATTTAATTGCATTCTTTTGCACCCAACTTCACATTTAAGCCGTATAATTTTTATATGCTTGTGAAAAATTCCAATTAATTCTACGCAGTAGTTTTTGGTTGGTGCCCTTTTAAATATGGAGAGCGATAAGCAGCATTTTCGACATATCTTACTGTTTTACTACAGAAAGGGTAAAAATGCTGTTCAAGCCAGAAAGAAATTGACTGATGTGTATGGAGAAGGTGTGTTGACAGTACGCCAGTGCCAGAACTGGTTCGCTAAATTTCGATCCGGCAATTTTGATGTCGAAGATGCACCACGTTCGGGAAGGCCGGTTGAAGCTGATAAAGACGCGATAAAGGCATTAGTTGATGTGAACCGGCGAATAACAACACGTGAGATCGGATTGAGGTTAAATTTATCAAATTCAACAGTTTATGACCACTTGAAAGGCCTGGGATTATCCTCGAAGCTCGATGTATGGGTTCCCCATGTTCTCACAGAGAGAAATCTGTGTCGCCGCATTGACGTCTGCGATTCGCTTCTCAAACGTCACGAAAATGATCCGTTTTTGAAGCGCATCATCACTGGGGACGAAAAATGGGTTGTATACAACAACGTCAAACGCAAGAGGTCATGGAGCAAAAAAGATGAACCGGCTCAAACCATTTCCAAAGCCGATATTCACCAAAAAAAGGTGATGCTGTCTGTTTGGTGGGATTTTAAAGGAATCGTTTTTTTTTGAGCTTTTACCGATAACACAACGATTAATTCGGAAGTCTACTGTCATCAGCTGGACAAACTGAATGATGCACTTCAACAGAAAAGGTCAGAACTAATCAACAGGAAAGGTGTAGTGTTTCACCAAGACAACGCGAGACCTCACACAAGTTTGGTCACTCGCCAAAAGCTTTTACAGCTTGAATGGGATACAATGCTACACCCACCATATTCTCCAGACCTGGCACCATCGGATTATTATTTGTTCCGGTCACTCCAAAATTTTTTAGACGGTAAAACCTTCACCTCAAATGAGGAGGTCAAAAACCTCCTCGATCAGTTTTTTGCCAGCAAAGACCAAAAATTTTATGAGCGTGGAATTATGCTACTACCAGAAAGATGGCAAAAGGTGTTGGACCAGAACGGTCAATATATAATTTAATAAAGTATTTGTTTATTATACGAAAACTGTCTTTCATTTCCACAAAAAAAACGAAATGACTTTTCGAACAACCCTACCAAATATCAGTACATAACGATGTACCGGTTACCCGGCGTGATGATGAAGAATATGATACTGATGAAAACTTGAAGAACATATACGCTATTCATAGAATTTAGTTATCTACTTACTTTCGAATAGCCCCTCTCTGGACTATATTTAAGTTTTAAAGTTCTTGATTTCTTTTAGAATAGGATCTTTACGAAATTGGTTCTTAGTGCGTCTGTATCTAGTAGAGGTGGTTCATAAAATATATTCGCAAATAAGGGGGAGGGAGGAGTATTGCCTAATGAGATTTGTAAAGGGGTGGTCCAAGGAAGTGTAATGTTCATTAATTTTATTTCAATTTTTGTTTTTAATTTGACAATTGGTAAAATTTTTCATTACTGTAGGAGGGATCTTTCAGAAATGTAAAATAGAATGACATTTTTAATTACTAATAGTGGTTAATATGCAATATTAATGTGAAAATTAATTTTCGGTTTTTTATCCACTACAAACTTCCTCAGGTTAATGAGGAAAAATATTTTTGTTGCTGTTGTCACACCCCCGCCGGGGGTATTTTAATAATACTTTTCCTCATTAACCTGAGGAAGTTTGTAGTGGATAGAAAATCGAAAATGAATTTTCACATTAACATTAAAGTAGAATGCTTAATGAGAGCACAATTTTTCTTAAATTTCATTTCTAAGGTAAAATGTTGATTGTAATGTGCATTAGTAGTTTTTCCTAGGTAGATATTAATATTTTCTTTATTTAATTACAAGTTTATCTGATCAACTATACAGCTGGTATCGAGTACAGTTTGTACAAAAATTCTTAATTACAGTAGATTTCATTGTGACATTTAAATGTATCTCTTTGAATAGAAATTAAATTAGCATTTTAATATAACTTAATTTTCCGACATAATTGATTTCTTACCCAAATAACGACATTCCTGCGAAAAGTCTTTAGCAAAAATGACTCCTTTGAAAGGCATCTTCATTTGTAGCGTCACGTTCAAATAGTGATTATCGCAGGTCGAATTCAGCTGAAGAATTTTGTTACTGAAGGGTACCATTGTACTCTTTTGCCGTGATAGCTGAGCAGCTGACGCAGCCAAAAGAAATAAATAATGTGTTTTTATCAACCAGTCAACCATTATGATCCTGGAACAAAAACTGTTACGTTTTTCCTTTTGAACAAAACGGCACAATATTTTATACGTCGGCATGCCTACTCGGATCGAGGCATTGATATTTGATTTCTTTAACGGCAATTATTTAAAAAAGAATAGAGGAATGCTCCATAAAAAAATCACTAAATAAAAAGTTAAGACGTTTAATAACAACATCTATCTGTATAGTATTTCATTCATTTCAAATAAAATGAATATACGGGGGCCGGCTGATAAATTTTCTTCATTTAACGCTTAGCATAGAAAATAGAAAGAACTGTGAACGAAAAATGAGCAGAAATGCAATTGTTCCGTGTGCATTGTAATGTCTGTTCCATATTTGTGTCGTATCACCGAAAAGTTCCAATGATTTTTATTGAATCTGACTGTTTCCATTACATGGTCACTGAACTCATGATTGTTTCTAAGCCTCCTCTAGAGGTTGGGAAAAAAGTATATACAAGTTGAACGGAGCCAAATCCGGAGAGTTCAGCGGATGCGGATTAGATGTAGTTTACATAACCACCTCGCACAAACTCTAGCAGAGTGTATGAGAATTCGATTTTTCCATCAAACAAACTCCCACTAAACGCAAACATCCACATCCAGATTGCGATGTCTAAAATAAGGCGATAAATTGGAAAATGGTGATGACTTCCCTTTCACTCTGGATTGTCTGCTGAGGAACAATTTCGTATTTTTTTTTCTAAAATCCACCAAACATTCATCTTCCAATCTTAGGATCACAACCTAACCTAACCCGGTCAAACTTGCGTCATGCCACCTTGCCGTACTTTCCCTTCCTTAATAAACCAATCTAACATGATAAAACGTAATACAATCCAACCCAAGTCAATCCAGCGCAATCTAAGCTAACATAACCTAACCTAACCTAACCTAACCTAACCTAAAGCCTTCACATGCTCCTTCATTCATACTGTGCGTTATGAAAACATTGGCTCTACCCACCCTTGACCATGTGTCTCGCTATATAGCTAAAGATGGAGTTTCAGATAAACTGCAAACAGTCACGACCAATTTGTGCAAATGTAGAAATCAATGACCATGCGGAGTTTTGTCATTGCGGAACTTAAAATTTCCAAGCCCCATGAGATTCTGAACTACCTCTACTACCGAAAACCGTAAATATTTCTGTTTTTAAATATTCGGTTATTGGGCGCTACTTTAAACGTAATGTCATAACGCTCGTTCACGATTCCATTTTAGCAGCCAATACTAAAAACGATCCTGTGATCGGATTTCACCAAATATAGCAGTGGTGTGGATGGAAATTGTATGCCACCACATGCATCAGTTCGATAGGTACTTTTAGTTCCGTGTTGAGCGTTAATATGTAAAAATTTTAGCCGGCCACCCGATGTACCCATTAAAATGTAACTGCTCACTTAATTTAGGTAATAAAGAAAGTAATCCCTGTTTTTCTAATATCTCGTTAAATGGCACTTTTTTGCTTGCTTTTCAGCCTACCGTTAAATAACAGATACGCATTCTGAATGAGTTGCCTCATTAATAATAATTGTTAACACGTACAGCTACCTATTAATGAGTAATTACTGGGGTATGAAATAATTAATTTTTAAGTCTAGAAGAATGCAGTTTTTATAAATATGTACGTATATGCGATTTCTCGGAATAAGCAAGTACTCATCTATGTATATTTAAATATTCTGTCGTATCAAATGCAAATGGTAATTAAATATTTAGCTACAAATGTGTATTTATCCACTGAGAAAAAAATGCATGGGTGGTGTGGCTATGTAACATAGGAAATGCTAGTTTTAGCAGATGAAGCTACTTTTTATACTAGTAAATTTAATATAACAATAAATTCTGCTATAAAATGTAGTAACAACTACAAGGTAACGACGCAAGAATGAGGTGTATTCAGCTAAACTATAACTTAGCATTCTGGAGGACGCCGGTTCAATTCCGGGTCCGCCTGCCTTGGTCCAAGTTTTTCTGTGGTTTCCTTGGATCACTTGGGCAAATGCTGGGGCAGTAATATTCCACAGATAATCTTTCATTCTCTTTTGCCTTCATTTCGTCCGTCTCATCTTTCCCACCCGATTCCCGCGATTCCTGAAAGGAGGCTGAAGAGGGTTTTCCGCCCTACTTTCCGGCGTAGTCCAGAAAGACTGCCCGCCCACCAGCATTAGTAGCTGGTGGGAATGAAACACCCAAAAGTTTTTTTTTAAACTGCTAAACTATTCATGCTCCTTTATACAATAAAGTTTCGCTACATCCTAAATATACCATCTGCTGCAATATTGTAACATAGCTACCAATGTCTAGAGTAAATGGTTTGAAAGGTAGTAACCTTTCCAGCAATATCTGTAGAGTAGCATTTAATATTAACTATTAGCGTTGGTATCATAAAAGCAGCTACTGCAGTACAATAACAAATTCGGATAGCGCATGCTACAGTTCCGTACAATGTAATTGCACAAATACTACTATTTAGAGCCCCTGTCCGCAAAAGTCCTATTTTTTATTACACATGTAGCTAAATTGTTTTTCAGTGTCAAAGGTCATTTTATTTTGTGTGTTATTCAATTTGTTATAACTCGCGGATTTCGTTTTATCCTTAATTAAACCTGAAGTTGCAGTGATTAATGAGCAAACAAAAAATAACTTCTTACAGTTAGTTTCTTACTCATTACCACAAAACGAGTGAAAGTTTTAATTTAGGAAAAACACGATTAGTGGATGGTACATTCTGGGTTCTTTAAGTTGCAATCAGAAATACATAACCCTAAATTTTTCCAATTCATAATAGAGAAATAGACAATTAGTTTTCTCATTAACGGTGTAGTTAGCTATTTTTAAAAACAATACAACGGAAATGTATCTGATAGGATTTTGATTTCGATCTAAATATTCAAAAATTAAAAGTATGTATTCTTTGCATTAAAGTATCGCTCACAACTTATTTCCAAGAATTTTTGCAAACGCTTACAATCTCACTTGGAAAGGTAGGAGGAGACAGATTAAAAACTATTACACCTAAATTTTTGAAGTGAAACCTTTTTACGCACGGTAGGGTAAGTTCGTTTTATGCGTGCTATGTAACGAAATCGTGCAACGGATGTCCCCCCTCTACTCGACCACGTAGTCGAGTTCGTAGTGGGGATCGCTTGAGCCGTAAGCGCGCTTCAATCCAACGTTCGTTACAGGTAACTCCGGCATGTATAGTGTAAAATTTAAAGTCATAATGTACAAATAATACTATTAAACCAATTCCGTAACCCCTATACCCCTATCCCGGTATGTTTGAAGAAGTTTCACTTGAGTACCGTCTCGTATTTTTTTGATAATCACTTTTTTGCAGTAGTGTCGTTACAATTTTCATTAAAACATTATATTCGTAATTTTTTTTCAGATTTTTGTATGACTAGTTTAGAAACTAAATGGCGAAGACGGTTAGTCAACGATTTTAAAAACAAACTGGTTCAATAATGGGGTTAAGGCTAGAAATGAGGTCTCTGGAGGGTATGTGATGCCGAATAAACACACTCTACAAAATCCTGAGAAATGCTTCCTGAACACGATTAACTCTTCTAGCAAGTCCGACTTCCAAACCCACGAAAGCATGAGCCGGGTAATCCCTGGGCAATGCGTGGTATGCAGTGAAAGCCAAAAAAAGCTGACAAAAGACGAGTTTCCGGCGTTTAAAAAAAACCGAATCTTTTCAGCTGAGGGACACAATCCCGATATAAAAATATCAGGAAAGCTGAAGATGGCAGCCTCATCACCTGAATACTTAGGTAAAAGTTGGAAATATTCACTAAGGAAATTGTAACTATTCCTAATCTCCTTCAAAAGACAGGCGGATTTCAAGGAAAATGTGCAAGGTTTGTTAAGGACAAACGATTTGGTATAATGAATAGATTAAAAATTGCAACAGGTCAGAAAGAACAAGAATTAAACAGAGAACTAAAGAAAAAAACACAAACAGCAGTCAAAACTGAAACTAAAAAAGAATTGATAGGCACAAAAGATTTTAACGATTACATAATGATTTACAGCGGAGTAGACCTAAAAATAAGATTTCAATGCGGACTAACAATATTGGTGGATAATAATTAGAAAAATGATACAAATATATAGCTACTTTAACAAAAAAATTAATAACTAATAACTAAAATAGAAAGAGTATAATCTAACAATAATAGGGGCACATGCACCTGAAGAGGGAAAAAGTAAAATAAAAGCCGATATATAAGTAAATAAAGTAATAATTGATTACATTATAATAAGTGAAGGGCTAAACGTCAGAATAGGAAATACACCAATACCAGATATAGTCGGCACGTTTGAAGAGCAAACAGTGAACGGTGGGAAAGGATTAAAACAATCGCATAGTTTCTGTAGAAAAAAAGATATTACGAAACAAAATAAATCGTCACAAGAGCAATATCCTACCAGAAATCTGATAGTTGTCAGTTAAGGGATACTGAATCTTTTATTCGTTATTTTGGTGTTCTGGAGGTAAAACCTACGGCTTATCATAACTTAAAATTAAACACAAAAAATATTTTTGAAGTTATTTTAAAACTAATGTTGTAAATTAAATCAACAGAGTGTCGTTCTAAGAGGTTACGAACTCAAATAAATATACATGATGTACTGTTATACTGTACTATTAAAACATACAAACTACAAAATGCTGTTATTACACTTAAAAAAATATGAAACAGTTAACATAAATCTCCTTTAGTTGACACAAATAATGTACTATAGTTAACATGTTCTTAATTGTGCAAATTGAGCACGTACATAGCTTCATACATAACTGTATTTTAAACGAATGAACAATTAAGTGCAATACAGTATCATTTTAAGGATTTCATAGCAACATTTCTAAACGACATTATTGTGTGGATCAATTAATTCTATAACGTAGTATTTTTTAAAACTGTCTTTAATTATACTGGAAATGTATGTTACCATCATCATAAGGTCGTCAATTCT